TTCATGGCGGGGGGGCATCCTGCTGCATTTAAAAATCACCCTCCCAGGTGGGTCCCGTCTCTGTGATTGACATTTGTGTGTGTTTGTTTTCCTAATTTTTTATTATATATGTACAAAATCACGTAACTGGAAGTTTATAGAAGAGAAAAAAGTGCCCCTAATCCAAGGACTTTAACATAGCTGCTGTTATCGATTTGACATGGCCTGTTTTTTCTCTATACGTTGTTTTTTTTTTTTCCCCCCGAGTTTTATTTAAATTCTAGTTAGTTAACATACAGTGCAATATTGTTTCAGGAGTAGAATTCACTGGTTCATCAGTTGCATGCAACACCCCGTGCTCATCACGGGTGCCCTCCTGAGTGCCCATCCCCCATCTAGCCCATCCCCCGACCTCCCTCCCCCCACCCTGTTCGTTATCTATAGTTAAGAGTCTCTTATGGTTTGTCTCCCTCTCTTTTTTTCCCCTCCCCTGTGTTCGTATTTTGTTTCTTGAGTGAAATCATACGGTGTTTGTCTTTCTGACTGACTTCACTTAGCACAGTACCCCCCCTCCCAGGTACATCCACGTCGTTGCAAATGGCGAGATTTCATCCTTTGTGATGGCTGAGTAACATTCCATTGTCTACACATGCCACCACCTCTTTGTCCATTCATCGGTCAATAGACATCGGGGCTCTTTCCATAGTTTGGCTGTTGTTCATAGACATTTGTGTTTCATAAACCTAAAAACGAAGGAACTTCCGCTCCCTAAAAGTAAAACACCCCTTAGAACAGTGTGAGGGAGCGGGGAGCTCATCCTTTCGGGGCCAGCCCGGCCGACTGTCCCGTAGAGTGCCGGCAGTAGGGAGAGGAGCCGAGGCCGTCGGTGCCCAGGTGTGTCGGGGGCTCCCTGGCAGAGGGGCTGGCGGGACACCCCCTCCCCCGGGGGCGGCCGGACGAGGAGATGGCTGCTAGTGCGACTCCCTGCTCGGGGGGTGCGTGGGGCTGCCCCGGTGCGCGCCGCCGGCTCTCCCGTCCCGCCCAGCACCTGGGAGGGTCTGGGACGGGGTCCCTCTCCTGGCAAGCGAGGAGCCGCAGCGCCCTCTCTGTCCCGCCCCGCAGAGTCCCCGGACGAGGCCGCCGCGGCGGACCAGGAGTCCGAGGACGACCTGAGCGCCTCGCGCACGTCGCTGGAGCGCCAGGCCCCGCACCGCGGCAACACCATGGTGCACGTGTGCTGGCACCGCAACACCAGCGTGTCCATGGTGGACTTCAGCGTCGCCGTGGAGGTACGGCCCGAAGGCCGGCGGCCCTCTGCCGGGCTTGGCCGCGGGGCGGAAGGCAGCTGCAGGC